TTGAAATCTCGTATAAAATATATTATATAAATAATTAATTTCAGCCAATCGGCGTAGAAAATTATTTAATTTTTAAACTTGAACTTTTTTATTTAGACTTTATTTAGTTTTATATAATATACCTTTATTTCATTATGTATCCTAATGACTACTATTTGTTCAAATCTGTTCAGTACCTAACATTTATCTTATTTATATTAGTTTTAACATAATTCCCATTTTAGTATACCAAATTTATGAATAAGTTTTACAGTTATTCATAAAGTTAGTTCATTAATATTTATATTCATACTCATGACAGTATCTTTTTAACAACTATATCTGATACCTAGGATTACTTAATTAAAATATCTGAGATGGACGTATAGTATGACTGACTATTCTATTATATAAAAATACTATAGAAGTAATTACTTTATTATCAAGACAGTTAAATTGTGTACTCAACTTATGCCATACCGAGAACGTTTTTATAAATAATATTAATTAATTGCCCTAATAAATTGCGAATTTTATACGTATTAGAATTTCTCAATGCTCAATATTTTTAAAAGATATAAAAATATTCAGTCGACTTATGTTGCTAGGCCAGGGATGATTTTTACGAAATTGATTTGTTATCTCGACTTTGTACAGGTTTAGACTAATTTTAAACTTTTTATCATATAATATCTGTTAAAAAGATGTTTAAACGCTTTAAGAATATGACGCTAACTAAATTTTTATAAAAGTTTGACGTAAGCGATAAGCTTCGTACCTCTGAGCTGACTTGAGCTTTCAAGCTCCAAAAGTATTCAGACTGACTTGTGTAAGTTTTTTTAATTATTCGTTCATTCAAATCAGAAATTCTATTTAATTTTGTGAAGTACTAAATAACTTCTACCATTTCAATAATCTTATCAACATGAAATTTTGTTCATTAATCAAGGTTCATCCGATAGAAATATGCGGATATTTTCCAAATACTGAATTCATCAAAATGAAAGTTGAAAATGAGAAACTAAATGTTATATCGATATTAAACTAATTTTTAATACAACATTTGTAATGTTGGTTGAAAGGGGAACAAGGTCTAAAGTAGCAGACTAACATGGTTCTTAGTTAGTAGCTTGGCTAAAGCGAATAGAAGTTAGAGTCTGTATTGTTGACTCGAGCGAGTCCTCTTCATATTGACATCTGGGATAGTCGTCATGATTGGGGGCTGCCCCTTTCGATTAGCTCGCTGGTTTACATGCCTCGCTATTGTTGGATCTATCTGGCTCTTCCTCTGCCCTCCTCCCATCCTCCTTCATTTGAGCTTCAAACTCACGCTAATCACGCCCGACTCCGTTTTCTCTATTTCTCTTCTGAGAGCTTGCATTGCAATTTTGCCGACATTTCATCTGTGGTTGTCCATTTGTAAAGTTCAGTAAGAAAAGAGGCTATTATCCATGTGTATCGTCGTTTTGGTTGAAATCTATTGTTGCATCTGTAGTAGTGGAAAACCCAATCGATTTACCATGCAACTTACAATTCGTAACACAATTCTAAATCTAGTAAGCATTGTCATGTAGATACTGATGATTAAAATGTATTACTGAATTTTAGCCGATCTTAATAATCATTATTAATCATTCGAAATTCATCGAAACCCGATCAAAAATAATTTATTACTGACCACATTTAAGAGATTACTTGGCAATCGAATGCTTAAATTATCACCCAATGAAGAACATTGAAATAGAAAATTTGGAATTGAAGATAGTCCGAATTCAATGACATGTCAACTTGTTCAAATGAAATCAAAACCATCGCTGACATTTTGTTAATTATCTGATTGAATTTCTAGTCTATATTTAACAATTTCAAAAAACCGATATATTAAGATTACATTAAACATACCAAAATATCGATAATTTGGAACAGACGCAGAGCAAAAGTATTGATGATCATCTTTTTATAATCTTTCTATAAAACCTTGCCTTTTATAAAAACGAGATGGGTTTGAAAGCGAAACCAGTTTATTCGTAGTCTGATTGACTGAGCTATGGTCACGTGGGTTACTATCTATAACGGTATGTAATTAGTATGTGGGTTATTCTTGGCTATTTCGATTGACTTATAACCCTTGGTTACAGATTTTTTTTTAATTTGGCACAATTATTGTACACATGAAAGTGAGATTTTTCCTAAATTTTGATGTCGATACATTAATAATATCAAAAGTTATTAACAATTAAAGAAAAATGATAAAAAAATTTTAAACGGCTATATTTTAAAAACTAATAAAGATATCGAAGTCGGATTTTTTTATAATACTTATGATGCCTTAAAATTTCAAAATAATTACAACAATAAACAATAAAAAATTTTTTTTTGAAAGTTATTAACTTTTTGCTTTAACAATTGCTAATATCTCAAAAAGTATATTTTTTTTTGAAAAATTCTGGCTCCTGCGTGTTCCTGAGGATTTTTGCTATCGAAATCAATCATAAAATTCAAGGGCCCGACATATCGGAAGGTGTAGCCCTAATTAGAAGAAAACGCCTCAGCGTAAGACCACGAAGACGTCCCGCTGCCGTTGCGACGTACACCGAGGCATCTTCTTTTGATTAAGGCTGCGCTCTCCGATATGTCGGGCCCTTGAATTTTATGATTGATTTCGTTAGCAAAAATCCTCAGGAATACGTAGGAGCAAGAATTAAAAAAAATATATACTTTTTGAGATATTAGCAATTGTTTAAACAAAAAGTTAGTAACTTTCGAAAAAAAATTTCTTATTGTTTATTGTTGTAATTATTTCGAAATTTTAAGACATTATAAGTATTATAAAAAAAATCCGACTTCGATATCTTTATTAGATTTAAAATATAGCCGTTTAAAAATTTTTTATCAATTTTCTTTAATTGTTAATAACTTTTGATATAATTAACGTATCGACATCAAAATTTGGAAAAAATCTCACTTTCATGTGTACAACAATTGTGCCAAATTAAAAAAAAATCTGTAACCCAAGGGTTATAAGTCAATCGAAATAGCCAAGAATAACCCATGTACAAGCGAATTGGTAGTAAAAGTAGTAAATCGGTGCTAATAAATAGCTCGAGATACCAACGATTGATTGAATGAATAAAAAATAAGACAATTCGAAGGCAACAAAAAAAGAATAAACTCTACATCTATCCAACGGCCTAACAATAAAATAATATAATTACTAACTAGAATATTACTACTAGAATAATTGGTATTTCTGATCAGACTTCGAATAGGACACACTAAAATAACACACGAACATCTACTCAGCAAGACAAATAAAAACATATGTAACCAGTGTAAAACTCCGATCACAATCAATCATAAACTCATTGACTGTCCACAATTCAACATAGAGAGAAGAAGAAATAAGATTGCAAACCTCTATATATATGAACTACTAAACGACCCAATAAAGTATATAAATGTGATAAAATTCATTGAATCTATCAAACTGAGACCACTTATATGAATAAATTACAAACCTATATGTACCTACAATATTATATCATAATTATATAATAATTATATAATAATATATAATACAATATTATATAATAATGAAAAATTAGTTTAAACACTTATATATTGTTATTATCATTTAATTTTTTACTTATAAGTACTTTTTTCGTGTCCGGTATTGGCAAATTAATAATTACAATTAACTGTAGTTGTTTATTGTCTATTAACATTTTATAAAATGTTAATAATTAAACGCAGTAATTAATAATAATTACTAATTTTTTATTCCAATAAGTAATTGGTGATAACTATTATTTGCATTTATTATTTTTTAAAATAAATTTGGTTTGGTGAATAAAAATGCACATAACCGTTACTAACCGAAAAAAACTTTTATAATTTGATAATGACAGTTTTTTAACAGAAAATAACTCTTTCTAATTGTTATATGTGTCAAAAACCTGACGTTAATAAATGATTATAAATTGTAAGTAATTTTTAGCAAATGTAATTAACTGATGATTTCTATTTATTATAATTTTATGTGTAAATTATTTCCGACAGGGTTGATTCAAGCACATGAAACTGAATATTAGTACAAACGAAAGATGACACTAGTAAAATTAAAGTTACGTGTTGTTACGTATATGTAATTTTTCGATTTTCTATTCTCAAAGGCCTAGCTGTAATGTCGAATATTTTTATCGGGTGTGTTGATTTTGAGTTATCTAACTAGCTCGTTTTGACTTGCGTACTATAGTCGCACGATCGATTGTAAATGACTCCATCGTGGACGCCCTTAGCACACATGTATAGTCCTATATAATGTTAATTACTGAAAAAAAATGCATGAAATTAAATAGAGAATTCTAAAAATAAAAGAGTAACTTTTTGTTGTAGCTATTTATTCATAGTCAAACTGAATAATTGGTTCGTAAGTATCATGTGCAAGATTAGAAATTTATGGTGAAATTTATGATCATTGAGCATAACAAATTGGATTGATTGTTACAACCAGACTGTAACGTTTGATCTTCTTACACGAAGAACAGTAAGATTGAAACGCAAGTTTCGGTCCGCTCTAATTAATAGTTAGAACTGAAACCGCTTTAATTAATTTCCAGTTTATCGTCCACGATTCTACCATCTCAAAATAAGTTCGCCGGTATATTCGTGTCAGTTGAAAATTGCCGCGATTCTGTGAACACACACATACACAGGTATGCTCATACAAGAATAATAGCCGATCCATCTCACTAGAGGCCAACGTCACCGAAGCAATAGGCAGCGTACAGAGAAAAAAAAGAGCAACCGCCAGAACGACGGCAAAACAAAAAAAAAGGGGCAGAGACAGCAGCGACAGCACCAGCAACAGCAGCAGAGAGTAGCAGAGTAGCAGTAGGCAAGGGCTCGTGTGCTAAAGGGGGGTGTGCGGGAACGCATGCGCTTCATACTCTGGGCAACAGTAAGTTGAGTGAGGCCAGGAGGCTTTAGTTTCTTGGCAGCAGTACGCCGCAGAGCGCGCGCCCATCGATAGCGGTGTGTGTTCAGCGCGACTTTTCGAAAGCAACGCGCGAATCCGTCACGTGAATCTTATGTATGGTGTATCGTCAAGAGGTTCGCAGTCAAGTGACTAGTGCAACAGTCAAGAGTAAAGTGTACTGTGCGAACTCGAGACTTTAGCGAGATCTACACTCGTTATACTTTTGTGAGCGTTCAGCTGTACTTTGCTGATTTTGTCGTTACTTTGCGAATGCTCTTGGGAAGTTCGAGAGCTGAAGGTAAACGGAATCAGCCAGTGGTGCGATGGCAAGTTGGGCGGACTAACTAACGGGTCGACTCGCGGAATGCCGAGGATATGATTGTTCAGGTAAGGGCGCCCGAAGGCTGGCACACATTTCGTCGCCGGATCTCGTACGTGCTAGCTACTTGTATTTTTTTTCTCTGAGAGCGAGGAGCTCCTTCTCTTGCTTTTCAAAGCTTATCTCGCGCGGTTGCGAACGAACAAAGCATAACGTTCTGCAACTAACTTATGTTTGTCCAACATTTTCATTATTCATAAATCGGATAGAGGTGCAGTTTTGAAATTAAATATGTTTTGCATTTTACTGTCGATAACGGCTTTTTCATTTGTTCAGACTAGTGTTCAAATTTCACTGACGATTACCTTGAGTTATGGGGAAAATATTTGGCGTATGTTTTATTCATTTTTGGATAAATCGTCAAAAAGATTCTCATTGATTTGAGTGCACATAAAGAGAAAATGAAATCGTAAATTTTACTTTTTTTCGATCTCAAGTGTTGAAAGTAAATGCTACAGTTGCTGTAAAGAAGAGTCTCGAAATGTAGCTTACACAGCTATAGATTACAAATTTAAATGGTAAAAAAAATATGTGGTGGTAGCCGGAGATTGCCTCTACCTTTTCCGCGCACTTACATGTAAAACGACGACTGTGGGAAAAAAAAGACATATAAAATTTACGTGGGTCGATGAGGAATCTGCATAAGAGATCCGTGCACGAGCTCATGCGAATTTCATTGGCTATGAGTGTTTTTTTTTTATTCCAGTCCGTAAATAAAATAATATAAGCTAGGATTTGCGTACTACTAGCAACTTTTTGATACGCTTCAGAAATGTATAAATTGGATTCTGTTAACAAAATATGTTAGTTAATGTAACTGAAGGAAGTTTATTATTGTCATGAGAATCAATTGCTCTGAAAATACAAAGCACAGTTGACAATCGCAAGTAATTACTCCATAACCTATTTCGAATAATTTACAATTCACACAATAATCATTATTAGAGGGGTTTTCGAAAGGAAAAGCGTCAAGAGCTAGAAGACGAAGAGAGAGACTGACCTGATTTTGAGCAATTACTTCTTTCGCGCGAGAGCGCCACCTTCTTTCTCTCCTCAACCTCTGCCTCCTAAATCTTCAAGCTTTTTATCTTTCCCTTTTCGCCCGAAGGATCCACGTCGAGCTTTAAATTTCACATTTATCTATTGGCATTTTTACGTTTGCTAGAGAGCGTCAGCTATGGCTATAACTGAATGCAGAAGCACTTTTTGCGCTTATTTATTTTTTGTAGGCATTCGATTTTTCGAAAAAGTGATGTGTTGTGTGAGGAATTATATATCTCTTGTATTTTTGCTTCTTATTACATATATATTACATATATATATGTACTGTACGTGTTATTATTAAGCGCTAAAGTTTGACCGACGGTTGTGTGTTTTCATAAACTAACAAAATTCGTTTGTTATAAATGAATTTAATTACTTTTTCATTTAATAAATGCATTTCAATTCAATATTTATTTGCAATATTTCATGTTTACAGTACGATGGTAAATAGAGCATCAAGGCATGCGGGTAGACATTGCAGTAATAATTATTCACAATTTAAATTAAAAATGATTGAATTATATATAATTGGTTGTATATTTATTATAGAATAGATAACTACGTATAAATGTATTATTTTTGAATCTTCATCGGGGACAGGGATTGATAAATTAAGAAAGCACTCCTTTCGAAAATAGCAAGAAAAAAGCCTTTTCTTTTTAACATTGCATGGTGACGGTAACAATGGGCAGTAAAATGTATGTGTATGGCAAAAAAAAAAAAAGAAAAAACCACGAGAGGGAAAAGAGCACGATTCGTTTCCATTTGGCGGGTACAATTTCGAGTGATTGCTCGGTGGTATATAGTTATCGACCTGATGGTGTGTGTGTGTGTGTGTGTGTGTGTGTGTGTGTGTGTGTGTGTGTGTGTGTGGTGTCTGTACGTGTGTGTAATTCTCCTTTTTTTCTGGCGAGGAATGAAACGAAAGCCATCTCCGGAAATTACGCATGTCAGCAGCCGACTTATCTGTATTGTGGCTGTACGCTACGCTAATCACGCACGACCCCCCGTCGTGTCGTGCATAAGAGAGGAAGTTGCCACGTAATTAGAGGTTCCTTACGATCTTTTTATTGCAAAAGGAGAACAAGACAAAAAGCGCGCGGCTAATCTTTAATTTTGCCCTTTTCCTATATACGTAAGCATACCTTCAATTTTCAAACGAATACTTGATTGCCGCTTAACGCTTCGACTTCATCTATTTAAAAAAAGCACACGTATAGCAGCTTTGAATATTTAAATTACTCTGCAATTTTTTCTCATAAAGCTTCTTTTACTACTATAAATGAAACCATCCTCAATTAAACCAGGTGAATCGTTTCAGGGATATGCGCGAATATACATAACGAAAATTCAGGTTGAATACAGAATCACCCACTTTCGAAAATTGGCAAAAAATAATTTTCTACGAAATTGTACTAAATAATAATAGAAATACCTGTAAAATACACATATTTCATATAATATATATTTGTAATGTAAATGTTATATACATTATTTATCAATTATAATTTTTATTGTGACAATCAACTCTCATTTTTTTTTCTTTTCATTTTACAAAAAATAATTTTCGAAAAGACACTTTAAAAACGTTGAGTTTACTTTTTAATGATAAAATTGCGTTTTAATAAAGAATTGGATTCTTTGTTAATCGATAGAATTGTGGGCTTTTAAGAATTGATAAATGTTTTGTATGCAATAGATATAATATGATATACCATATGCATAAAATCAACAAATCTAATCCCCATATAAAGTGTTATAGTTCGATTTGAAATTAAACCTAACATTTATGCTACGTACGTAAAATTGTAATGTAATATAGGTATTATATCTTAAACACTGTTTATCATAGTTTTTTTCACTAACTTAGAATATATAGTGACGTTCGTAAACACACAGACTAATAATAATGATAGTTAAAGGTTTTTTTCAATTCGTACTGATAAACAGTGACAACATTTCTTTTATAATAACTATAATATACTTTACACTTTTTTAAAATAAGTGAAATTACTTTCCGTTGATCAGCCTCAATTTAAAGTCTTGCAAAGTATGTAAATTGATGTTCCGAGTACTGACTCTTAAATTACATCAGGATTAACGAGTATCATAAGAATATAGATTGCATGCGTTATTCAAGTTCAGTATTTTAAAGATACTGTGACAGCTATAGAGCCGTTCGCGAAAATTGTATTGCCTTTGATAGTAATTTTCTTGTGTCGAAAATTTCATTATCATAATTCAACATAATCTCAAAGTTCAAAACTAATCTACGCTCGTAGAAATTGCGCTGCTAATTTTCCCTGTAGTATCCCGTTTCCATATCTTTTAAGAGGATTTACGCATCAGCGAATGTTACCTCTAGCCATAGTTAATTTATTTTAAGGTGGTGTCATTTGTTCGATATGAAATTTTCTCGACCTTCCAACATCATTCTGAACATTCGTTGTAACTCAATGTCTATGAGAACATCGGTACATTACTATACTCATGTTTTAACAAAATTACGGTTTTAGTAGGCGCATTCTCACGATTAATACATAAAACCGATATGATAAACAGTACACAGTCATTTTTTTCAGATTGTAACCACTGATGGAATTGTTGGATAGATATTTGCGTAATCGATCGGCTTGCTAGGGTTATCGAAATTCGTTGAATGGGTGAAACGCGATAAATGTAGCTATGCCATATTTCTCTTGTGTGCGCATTTCGCGGAATAGAGTTGAGACATTTCTAAATGTTTAATGTTTAATTGAATGCGGATGAACAGAGAGATCATCGGCACCGCGTTAAACTGCCATCATTGCATGCCTCGATAACAATCAATCATATCTCTCTCTCTCTCTCTCTCTCTGTCGCACTGGCTCTCACTCAAAAACACCAAATTGGCTAGAATCGAGCAAATGAATATACCCAGCCTGCTTAATTCTAAAGCTGCAATGATTTCTCCTGACTTTAGATTGGAAATTATTGGAGGCTTATCGAATCGACAAATGCTATCGATAATTATTATTATTTGCAATCTAGCTAATGTTGCTGCTGTAGTTACTCTTTTTAGGCTTGTAGATTTTTATTTTCAATATGCCATAGTTACATTTGCTATATATATGAACTATTTATTACGTCACATTAGCATAGCAATGTTGATTCGACGTGGATTGGAAAGTTGCAGGCTTATGACTTTTCATCGACAATAAATCTCAATATTTTTCTTAATAGATTAGTAATGGTAACGATTGAAAGGTGTTTGATGTAGATTAAAAAGTTGCCGGCTTATGAGTTGTTATCGACGATAAATCTTTCCGTATGGCATAAGGCAAGCATGTAAGACCATACCTTTGTATTACTATCACCGAATGACTTCTCGATTTACTAAAAACCAATCGATATAGCAATAATAGTATCATTATGGAGATTGGATCAAACAGAATTATCGACGATTGACTTATTTTAACAATCTGAACGTTCGCTCTACAAAAAGTTTTTAAACTCGCTATATATTAGTAAAGTTTTTTTTTACTTCTCGTAGATTTATTTATTCATTTGCAGTGATCAGTTATTTGAACAAATCAAAACCATCGCTTTAAAAATATGTTAACAGTTCTTTATTTTAAGCTTCAACATTTGCCGTTCGTAAGAGATTTTTTCTGCAAGATTGTTTCTTCAAAATAGGCTGTAGTCGACTGTCAGCAATAAAAATAATAACACACTAAATTATTAAGGATTTAATGTCTGTAGGCTATTTGAAATGGACCTGAATAAGAGACAAGCTATTTAACGTAGAATGAAAATAATAACGGACTTGTATCGTCTGTTCCACTTTGGTCAGGTGTCGCGATCCAGATGGCTATTGTTCGCGATAAGAGTAGTGTGAATAAAAACAATTATTACAAAATTATATCTAATTTATTATTATAACAAAAAATTAGTAGTATTTATTAATTATAAATAAACAAATGAA